TTCATGGATATTGTACTTTCACTCTTTAATTAGTAGAATTCATGGATAGTGTACCTTCACTCTTTAATTTAGTAGAATTTATGGATATTGTACTTTCGCTCTTTAATTTAGTAGAATTTATGGATATTGAACTTTCACTCTTTGATTTAGTAGAATTCATGGATAGTGTACTTTCACTCTTTAATTTAGTAGAATTTATAGATATTGTACTTTCACTCTTTAATTTAGTAGGATTCATGGATAGTGTACTTTCACTCTTTAATTTAGTAGAATTTATGAATAGTGTACTTTCACTCTTTAATTTAGTAGAATTCATGGATAGTGTACTTTCACTCTTTAATTTAGTAAAATTTATGGATATTGTACTTTCATTCTTTAATTTAGTACAATTCGTGGATAGTGTACTTTCACTCTTTAATTTAGTAGAATTCATGGAAAGCGTAATTTCACTCTTTAATTTAGTAGAATTCATGGATAGCATACTTTCACTTTTTAATTTAGTACAATTCGTGTATATTGTACTTTTACTCTTTAATTTAGTAGAATTTATGGATAGCGTAATTTCACTCTTTAATTTAGTAGAATTCATGGATAGCGTACTTTCACTTTTTAATTTAGTAGAATTTATGGATAGTGTACTTTCGCTCTTTAATTTAGTAGAATTTATAGATATTGTACTTTCACTCTTTAATTTAGTAGAATTTATGGATATTGTACTTTCGCTCTTTAATTTAGTAGAATTTATGGATAGTGTACTTTCACTCTTTAATTTAGTAGAACTTATGGATATTGTACTTTTTCTCTTTAATTTAGTAGAATTTATGGATAGTATACTTTCACTCTTTAATTTAGTAGAATTTATGGATATTGAACTTTCACTCTTTAATTAGTAGAATTTATGGATAGTGTACTTTCACTCTTTAATTTAGTAGAAATCATGGATAGCGTAATTTCACTCTTTAAATTAGTAGAATTCATGGATAGCGTACTTTCACTCTTTAATTTAGTAGAATTNTACATATCTATTGTAATCTTTATACAATACTGTACATATCTAGTTATCTTTATACTATACTGTACATATGTATTGTAATCTTTATACAATACTGTACATATCTAGTAATCTTTATACTATACTGTACATATCTATTGTAATCTTTATACTATACTGTACATATCTAGAAATCTTTAAACTATACAGTACTTATCTAGTAATCTTTATACTGTACTGTACATATCTAGTAATCCTTATACTGTACTATAAATCTCTAGTAATCTTAATACTATACCGTACATTTCTAGTAATCTTTATACTGTACTGAACACATCTAGTAATCTTTATACTGTACTGTACATATCTATTGTAATCTTTATACAATACTGTACATATCTAGTTATCTTTATACTATACTGTACATATGTATTGTAATCTTTATACAATACTGTACATATCTAGTAATCTTTATACTATACTGTACATATCTAGTAATCTTTATACTATACTGTACACATCTAGTAATCTTTATGCTATACTGTACATATATATTGTAATCTTGTACATATTGTAATCTTTATACTATACTGTACATATCTAGTATTCTTTATACCATACTGTACATACTTTATACTATACTGTACATAACTGGTAATCTTTATACTATACTGTAAATAGCTATTGTAATCTTTATACTATACTGTACATATCTATTGTAATCTTTATATTATACTGTACATGTCTATTGTAATCTTTATACTATACTGTACATATCTAGTAATCTTTATACTAATCAAATATATTACCTAGTCTGTACTATATCAGATAACAATTATAAAATACAAGAAACATAGCGATATTTCTTTATAACAGAAAGAACGACAAAGACAAATATTTCTAAAGAGTTCTGGTTGATATGAACCTGTAACAAATATCGGGTTAAACAATATTCCGTGCAATTTGCAGTACGTTGTACATTATTAATGATCGATGTTTTTATATAAAAAACATTTATTCATTTGAACTGCGTTCTAAATGAATAAGTATCATGTTTAGCTTAATCAGGAGATATATATGACGTATTTCTTAAGTTGCAACTATTTCAGATTGTGCTGTAATACATACTAGATTTCTCTTAAATCATGTGATAGAGATAACGACGTTGGAATTGTGATTACGTCTATTGATTTAACTACAAACCTTAAATACAATTAGAGATTGATTAAGGGCTTGATAGATAGCCAAGGCTTGTGTCCCTGTTTGGCATTAAGAGCTGAAGTAATAGTTTGTTTGATAGCTATACTTGTGTCCCTGGGTGGCATTAGGAGCTGAATTAATAGTTTGTAATATAGCTAATCTTGTGTACCTGTGTGGCATATAGAGCTAAAGTAATAGCTTCTTTGATAGCTACGCTTGTGTCCCGGTGTGGCATTTAGAGTCAAAGTAATAGCTTGTTTGATAGCTATGCTTGTGTCCCTGTGTGGCATTTAGAGTCAAAGTTATAGCTTTTTTGATAGCTATGCTTGTGTCCCTTTGTGACATTAAGATCTGAAGTAATAGCTTGTTTTATAGCTACGCTAGTGCAACCTGTGTGGCATTTATAGCCTAAGGAAGTGCTAGATTGATAAGCTGTGCTTTTATACCTTTGTGGCATTTAGATCCTGAGTAATAGCTAGATTGATAAGCAACGCTTGTGTCCCTATGTGGCAGAGCCAGGTGGGTTGTGTCTTGATTGACTTGGATAGCGGACGGGTTGTGCCTGGAGAGATACAGTTTGGACAAAGTTATAAGAGTACGACAATTACTACAAACCTAATGTTCTCCATAGATATCCTAAACCTAGATTGCACGAGGGCCAAGAAGAAGATATAGTCTGAAGGATTCCTTATGTATCAGGGTACAGGGTTACCCACAAAGAAAGAAACTTCTACGACGATTGTACGGAATTTTATTGTCTGTTGAGCTTATATTCATGATTCCCTGCAAATAAAAACTTGTTTCTTTCTTTGCTAAATCGATTAATACACTATAAAAAGACAATATTCAGACTAAATCAACCTTGAAATCGTCAGATTTTAAGAGTTTCAGGTCGTCTTTACAGTCTCTTGCTATGGGAGTAGTACCATGTATAGCCGCTTAGCGTATATAGTATTCAGATGTAAATTGCCAAAATGGGAAATACCGAATTATCTATAGCTAGGGTGTCCCAATAAACATGGGTATTCGGTGACGAATTCGATATCGTCTTTTTAAATAATTCTTTGATTTAGTATAGTGATACCACTGAGAATTTGTTTGTTTATGTTTTGACTGCAACGGTTGTACTTAGTAAAACAAGAAAATTGTAGTATACTACAGGGTGTCCCAAAAAACATGGGAATTCAGTGACGAATTCGATATCGTCTTTATGAATAATTCTTTGATTTAGTATAGTGATACCTACTGAGAAAGCTGTAATCTGTAAGAGTTTCGTCTGCTATGTTTACATTTTGTTTGTTTGTGTTTTGACTGCATACGGTTGTACTTAGTAAAACAAGAAAATTGCAGTATACAAACAGGGTAAACTTGTCCATTTTCACTGTTCATCTTGCGGAGACATTATAGACACATCTTTTCAGTCTTTTACCCTTTTCATTAAATAAACTCTAGCAGACATAATAATATTATGGCTTTTGAAATTAGGTATTACAATGCTAATTCATAACAAAGACGATATCGAATTCGTCACTGAATTCCCATGTTTTTTGGGACACCCTGTAGCAGAGTAACTTGCCCGTCTACACTGTTCATCTTGCAGAGACATTATAGACACATCTTACAGTCTTTTACCTTTTTTATAAAATAAACTCTAGCAGACATAATAATACTATGGCTTGTGAAATCAGGTATTACAATGCTAATTCATAACAAAGACGATATCCAATTCGTCACCATGAATTCCCATGTTTTTTTTTGGGACATATCCTATATGAAAAACAATATTTACAATATCGTTATATTTCCTTATTGTGATACAATCATACATTTAATACATTTTTGGAAATCTGCACTAATTTTTGCAAATTTGCCAAATTTTAAATATATCAAGAATTATTCTGCAAAAAATGTGCAAAAACAAAAGTGCGCGCGCGAATTATAAAATTATTCAAATATGCAAAAATATTTGCAATATTTTCAAAAAATAAAATGTATTCAAAGAATACTGAAAATGGGCAACTATACTCTTAAGAGATACCTCTGCAAAAAATCAATGCAAAATTGTTCTTTTGATAAAGGCTTTCCAAAGAGCTATGTCGAAATCCAATTACCGGAAGTACGTCTGTCTTAAAGATAGATTTAGTCTGGTAAAGTTAAAATAAGGCATTCAAGCAGTATGCCTAAGGATCTCGACTCGAATGCAGCAGAATTAAAAGCCCTGATTTGAGCCTTGAGGGGAATTACGTCTGTAAAAGAAATGTAAAAAAAAATTTAACAGCCTCAGACCAATACTTGTTGAGTTATATCTGAAAAACGTCCGGGAGTGGGGTTCCAGGGACCCTCCCCACTATATTTTTCTTCTCTTTCAGGCCGTAGCTAGGAATTTCGAAAAGGGGGGGGGGGGGCACAATTTTATTGACCATATACCTCAAATATTTTGTATTTGCATAATAAAAAAATATTTTAACCTTTGTAACTCAAGCAATGCATAGTAAATTACAAAACTTGGTTCGCAATAGATATTTTGTTGTATTGAGATAATTATAGGCTATACCATAAATTAACGATTGTACGCATTATCGACATGTTGAAAATTATTTGTAGGACACTCCAGTTTTCCAGGGAGGGGAACGTCCCCCCAATTTTTCATGGGGGACATCTTGCCTTCCCCGCACCCCTCGGGCCCTGCCCCCCATAAGTCTCAAAAGCCTCTGACATTTGTCCAAACGAACGTTAGTTCAATTGATATGACACTAAACAATTATAAATGTCGTCGTACATTTCAGTTTTCTGTTAAATTTTATAGGAATGGTCGCGGCATACGTACTCAATCTCTTGTCAAACTCAGAAGAATTTTAAAAATTCTTCTTCTGAGTTCTGACTTTTATTGATTACAATTTACAAATAATTGTCAAGGAAAGAAGAAATCAGCAGCTCAAAATATTGTTCGTTGCATCTTGCAAGTGATGATGGAGGACATAAAAGACGTAAAATTTGTTGAAATGAAAGATTCGAAATTTCTTCGTCCGTACAGGAATGGGTTCATTGTATAACTTACCTTACTGTAGAAGCATATCATATCTAATCCCCCACCTTTACTTCTATATCTGCTCAAACATCGCGTTGAAATTAATGCTGATATTTTCTTTAAAATGAGAAATATTTAAACAATGGAATAAATGATACGTAGATGAACCCCCCGACTGAGCAGGGTTGTGTACAAACAAGATGGAGTCGAGAAGATCTGGGATTGTATTAGAGCACATAATTCTGTTTCAATTCTCATATTTAATATAACAAGGTACAGCAGTTAACTCTTTTCAACAAAAATATTTATGTCGTATTATTTCAGGGTTAGGTTAGGCCATCTGGGCCAAGCACTGCGGCTAAGACAGGCTAGGGGGCCCAGCGCCGCGGCCAGGACAGACCTCAAATTAAGCAATTTTGAACAAAATTAGTATATATTTAGGATTTGGTTAGGCTAAGACACTATTTTGGCCGAGCGCTGCGGCTAGGACAGGCTAGGGGACCGAGCGCTGCGACTTGGAATGGCTAGGGGGCCAGGCACTGCTGCCACAAGACCAACTTTATCAATGTGTGTCTTTTATAAATCGTTAGAAATAATGTAGAAAATTTATAGGAGGGGGGGGGGGCCAAAATCGTATACTATGAAATTACCCTTAAATTG